TTAGATTTTGGGGTTAAGAATTAATTTTAAGTAAAAATTCCCTCTGCATTGAGAAAACTCACTTTAAAAATAAAAAATGCATTTAGCTTAATGAATGAGGTAAAGTGCTGCTGCCTTCAATCATCCAAAAATGTGCAAACAAAAATCCATTTTTTTTCCCTTGCACATCATCGGGTGTTATTTTTCTTAAAGACGGGAGAAGAGGAAGTGTTTAATTATATTGCATGATGATTAAGTTTATGTGGCCTTTGGTTTTAGGGTTAGGGTTACTTGGGGCTAATCGCTTTTTTATTGTTCAGCGCACTTAAAATGGCACTTTTGGGTAGTAGGAATATTCATTTTTAGACAGGGATCCTTTAGTAAGATGTGCCAGTGTTGTTTTATTTGTGTCTGTTTTGTATCTCATGATGGAGCTGCAACTCCCATTAGGGGGCTTACGAACTCTCTTATGTCTTATACATACTAGCTTTTGTCTGTCTGAATTGAGTGCATTTTCTGAATCTTTTATAAGTCAGTCAGTAAATGACATCAGCACAAGCATTTCGCCCCTTTGTTTACCTCAGCTGCAAAGCAAGGAATGCCCAGCCTTGGATTATTGGATAGTAGTGCCCATGACATTTCCTTGTTCAGAGGAGCTTAGGTTCTGACCAGTTTCAGTCCAAACCTGAAGTGATCTCTACTGATGAACAATTTCTTATAATTGATGGAAGAACAAATCATCAGAAGCAGCAAGTAGCTATGGCACATGCATTTTTACATATTGGATGATGGGTGGAGAGTATGGTATTCCCTTCAGTGGCATTTTGTGGTGCCCTTTTGATATGGATGATGTTTTAATAGAATGGAGTGAGACCAATTTGGAACTTGCTAAATTTGTGAACATTTTAATAATAAATCAAAGAATATTTCCTTACACATAGTTATGGGATCCAATTTTTTAAATGTGTAAATTATAAAAGAAGGTAATACGCCAACAGCAGGTTATTCCCTACTCCACGTGGAGGAGACATTGTCAAGTCCTGTGGCAGTCCATTTTGCTACATGTCACAATAAGTTCCCTCGAAAATGTAAAGGTGAAAGGTAATCACCCTTTGAATATGAGTACATTGAGGAGCAATATTGAATCGATTTTATTTTTTTTAAATAGTTATTTAGGATTCATGAATGCTTTACCCTTCACCCAAATACATCATAAGTTAAAACTGAGGGTCTTTTTTTATGGTAGCAAAATTAAGGTACTGCTCTCTGGTAATTGATGGTGGCTCTCAGACCTCTTAAGCATTTGAGGCTGTGTTCCTATATGGATATTATTCTGTAACATTCTGTAACAAATATAAACATGGGTAAAAGGTGGCACATTTTGTTTCTGTGCCTCTGTGCATCCATTACCTTTCTTTTTATCCTCTCCCCCTGTATTTACACTTGATATAATCAATAATCTCAATGGATGGTCTGAGTAAGTCGCCATTCACACATAAGCATTTTATAGCTGAAAGGGCTAAGCACTAAAATGCTCAACCTAAAAATGTAATGCTTATCAATGGCTGCTGTTCACACCAAAACATTTTGTCACCTGTATCAAAACTGTCAATGGTAAAAGCACATAAGCTGCATTTCTGCAGATTTCTGCACTTTTGGCCCCACAGACTGTAATGGCAATGCCTGTAAATGCACAACACAAGCCTTATTGTGCATTTTTTGAGTGTTTTGTTGCTCAAGAGCCAGCCATCCTCTGCAAAGAACATTGGGAAAATAATGGACAAGCTGAAAAATGCACGGCAAAACATTTGAAAAATGCAGCTCAACACACATAAATGCTCTAAAACCATTAAAAAAAGCCTGAAACACTGCCACTCAGGTGTGAACAGGGCCTTACATGGCAGTGATCAATACTGGCTACTACATAGAGCTTGTTGCCCTAAATAGGAGTCATTTGTTTGTCCTGTGTTATACAGAGTATAAGGGAGGGATGTGGACATGCACAGTAGAACCAGCCACATCAGGTGCTCCTCACCATGTGCTTTTGGCTGTAAGATTTTCGGTCTGCTGCTGGACACTTTTTTAATGTTTGGAAAGTGATCACCACATTGTGGGCATTACCAGCACCAAAGGATATTAAGATGAAACTGTTACCTGATGGACTAATGAATGATATGGACATGCAATACTGGACTCTGGACTTAGTGACACAGTGGACTCTGGACTTAGTAATGCACTGGACTCTGGACTTAGTACCACACTGGACTCTGGACTTAGTATCACACTGGACTCTGGACTTAGTATCACACTGGACTCTGGACTTAGTAATGCTCTGGACCCTGGGCTTAGCAAAGCACTGGACTCCGGACTTAGTAATGCACTGGACTCTGGACTTAGTAATGCACTGTACTCAGTACTTTGTAACACACTGGACTCAGGACTTAGTAACAACTGGACTCTGGACTTAGTAATGTACTGGACTAAGGACTTACTAACACACTGGACTCTGGACTTAGTAATGCTCTGGACCCTGGGCTAAGCAATGCACTGGACTAGGGACCCACCTGAGACCCCACAGAGCCCACCTTTGACCCTGCAGAGCCCACCTGAGATCCCACGCAGCCCACCTGAAGGTCACCCTGCAAAGCACACCATAGATCCTGCACAGCTTATTTGAGACTCTATGGTGGACTCTTTAGAGTCTCAGGTGTGCTGGTCGGGGTCCCTGAACATGCAGATCCTTACCGGCAACTGTTTGGGCCTAGCCTTCCTCACCGCTGGACCAGCTCCTGTCCCACAGCTGTATAGGTGTTGCTGGGGCCTGACCCCTCCCACTGTCGGACTGGTGTTGCTGGGGCCAGGCCTCTCCCGCTGCAGGATCGGCACTGCTGGGCACTGGTCTCCTCCTCCTCCACCTGCTCCGCTGTCAGTGGGCTGTACTGACATTGGTTTTGGCTGTACCCCCTAATGGCCTGTCGCATTGTAATGCACGATAATATATATATATAATATATCCCTAAACTTTCACACTGTTGGGATTTTTGTGGTCTCTCCTATTTTCATCTGAACTGATATCTGTGTGGTCAGCTTGGTAATTAGAGATAATGAAAAACATATATAAAGTCATTCTATTAGAATATTAGGCCAAGAACGGAAGAGTGGGGGGTGATTGGATCTTCCACCTTGCTCAGTGCAGAGATCCTTGGCAGAGATGAACAGCGGGAATAGTTTTGAATCTGGATCCCCAGGAGAACTTATACATCCTATGTACTTGCACTTTTGAGGTCTTTGTTTAGTGCATCGCGTGGCAATGTTGGATGTGGGTATATTTATCTCTCACTTGAATAGTAATTAATGTCTTAGTTGAAGAGGTTTTTTTTTTATCTGTTTACATATTTGAAAATTTTTGTAATTTTAATAATTTTTGGTTTTTATTTTAAATATTATTTCTTGATATATTTTACTTTTTAATTTTTATTTATTTTATAATGTTTTTCTTTTTATCAATTTCCTTTATTTCTTTTTTTTTTTCACTTTGCCTCTCCTATAACAGCTGAGATGGAAATGCTGTGAATACAGTTCTCCTGTCTTACTGTTTACACAGAGCAGAGCGGGGAATGGACGTATGCTCTGCTTCCCGCACTCCTTTCTGAGCTACCTTGACATGGTGCTGTGGTCCCAGGACCCAGAAACCACAGTGGGGAGATGGACAGTGGAGACAGGGGCAGCCATGGAGGGGGGGCAGTGGGGGAGGACTGATGAGCAGGCTAATAACAAGTGATTTTGCATCACCAAGATCACTTGTGCAAAACAAGCTGCAGCTTCCCTCACTCTACATTTACCCTTGGTTGCCCGCAGCACGGCTAAATGTAGAAAAAACTACCCATCTGATGCCTGGAACTGCATGTCCCGGGTGTAGGGCAATGGAAATTCCACACCCCTGCTGCCCCTCTACACCCTGCCACCCTTAGGCAGGCCTCAGTGGCCTTGTGAGAAATCTAGCCCTGGATGTGATTCATAGCAATCATCAGTCTAGCAATTTAGTCAGTGACCTGCAAATCTAAGAAACCAATCACTAAATTCCATTCATAGTACATCATATATATCACAGTGCTCAAACTCAAAGGAACTATCATTCACACATATGTATAATGTGCAAATAAGGGTTTATATATTACATTATGTCATTTTTACAACAGTGTTTTATTTGTTGAGTGGTAAAGGATAATAGTCTCATGTATCAGAGGTAAAATTAATGACATTTAATATACATATTGTTTTATTTTAAGAAGGTGAAGCTGTACATTATGGTCTTTTATGTAATAGTGTAAAAATAAAAGGAGAGGTGCCACATGAAATGGATTGCAACAAAAGTGAGTTCATGAGGGTTGGGAGTCTCCTTTGCACAGGCACTTGCACTATGATCTGAATGGTCTAAGGGACAATTTACCGTTATTTAAGTTGAATACACTCACCTTGTGCACAACGCTAGATAACCTCACCTCACTTTCCCTTTCTTTTATTTGTAAAGAGAGATATATGTCATGCAAAGCTTGAGCCAATATGTTGACTGCAAGAAACACTCTATAAGGAGTTTTATCATCAGGAAAATATAAATGATTTGCAATACTCTCAAAAGTGCAGTTATGAAGGGGATAGAGAAGCGTCACTGGAATCAGAAAGTTCTTCATTGGATGTCTTGAAAAGCAGCGGTATTCAGTTATGAGAATATCATCCTGCATTGGGTCATTTGGGCGGCTTGAGGGGCTGACGCTTTTAAAATATTCCTCCATTCTCACTATTGAGAGATCAGGACTTGAAAACACCAAGCTGCAGTTACTGATAAAAAAAAAATCGGTGTCCATTGACCAAGAATTAGGAAGTATAAATGTTTTATCCATATGATAAGGAACACTACCCCACAAAAACTTGTAATAAGTTCTGCTAATTGAGCCACAAATAATAAGAACTTCAGTGGTTGATGTCTGGAGATCTAGAGGGATTGTATGATGATTCTTCACAGACACCATGATCTTAAATGCAATACAAATTCCATGATTAGTTAACTGTTTGCTGAGTTGTTGGATCTCCCTCTCTCCATATTCATCATCAGATGTAATGATCCCAACCCAGTTCCACTTCAACCTTTTTAGTAACTTCACTATGGCCACATATTGCATCTCATTATCTGGAACTGTCCGGAAAAGGTTTGGAAACATCTTTCTGTCACTTAGTAAAGTATCTCTAGCTCCATAACTAATCTAGAAAGAAAGAACAAATGGTTGTTACATTAAAGTGAATTTCAAACTTTTTACTAGTTTTGGATTGTGTGGGGAAATGTATTTAAGGATTTGTCTGGTGTTGTCTGAGAGAACCAGTAGTTTATGGACACATTGTTTTCTGAAATGTTAACAAAAATGTTCTAAACATTAACGGTAAAGAGATGTAAGCTTTGATTTGACAATCTCAAAACATTCCCTGCTCTCAACATACAGTATATAAACATAGACAGATAATGAGCAATATGTCTTCAATGTCTGAATATCTTACCTGTGTATAACCATAGAGATTCAAAAGCTGTGCCATTTGGAGAGTTGTATCTGATTGGAGGTCTCCGATGAAACCAGCCACTGTACCCCGCACCATACAGGAATAATTTGGAACTGTCTTGGAATGTCCAGACAAGATCTGCAGAACATCTTTTGTGGCTTTATTCACATGTCCACAAGAATCATACACATGATATCCCAGAGTCACATTGGACAGAATATCTGGACTGCTGTTTATCTCATCAATAGCAAAGATAAAAGCCAGGAGATGTCTGTATTCTCTCTGGTGAACACTATAAATAGAAACACAGAGTGGGATTTGCCATGCCAGATCTAAATGCCAGAGTTTATAAAACAATTTATTATGATTCCACTTTTTCTGCATCAATATCTGGTTCATTGAACATATATACAGGATTCAAAAAGCATTATATGTGTTCTAAAGAGAGCATAGAAAGAGATGCATGTCATTAGGCGTCTTCTGTCTGATTGAAACCACAGATTGAGGTGTATAGAAGAGATAGGACTGAGATATAAATTTCAGCTTTAGCTATTAAAATCAACAGGCTTCATTCAAAAGGGGTAAGGAGAAATGGGAAAATATGTGAAAAGGATTCAAGAGATTCAACCCTTTGGCTGTAAATACAATTTGACTGTGTAATATTTAATATTTCCTTGACAAAAAAGGGAATTATTTTTGCAAAAACACTTACCAAAAACATTGTGGGGTCTGATAACATTTTTCTGTAAACAGACCAGTGTGTTAGAGCTGCAAAAACATCAATAAAATGGCTTTAGGAATAAAATTCAAGTTCATTTACCAATATACATCGATCAGCTGTAACATTCTGACCACTGAGAGGTGAAGTGAATAACATTGATTATCTGGTTACACTGGCACCTGGAAGTGGGGAGATATATTATAATGGCACCTGGAAGTGGGGGATATATTATAATGACACCTGGAAGTGGGGGGATATATTACAATGGCACCTGGAAGTGGGGGGATATATTACAATGACACCTGGAAGTGGGGGATATATTACAATGGCACCTGGAAGTGGGGGGATATATTACAATGACACCTGGAAGGGGGGGGTATATTACAATGACACCTGGAAGTGGGGGGATATATTAGTCAGCAATTGTGTCCCTGAAGTTGAAAGTAGAAAGAATTGACAAACATAAGGGTTTGAGTGACTTTGACAAGAACCAAATTATTATGGCTAAACAACTGGGCCAAAGCAACTCCAGAACTCTCTTGTGGGATGTTCCCGGTCTGCAGTGGTCAGGACCAAGGAAAGAAAACTGGTGACCCAGCGATAGGGTCATGTGTGGCCACAAGCTCATTGATGCACATGGGGAGCAGAGGCCGTCTCTTGTTGTTCTGATAGAAAGGTGTCTGAAGGAGAGGATAAGCCACTGGCACTTCAAATTCCTAAATCAATGCATCTTTATGTGATACATAATCATAGCACAGGGTCCCTTCATCAGGCAAAACATACTTTAAGTGGAGCACAATGTACAAAAACGACATCACATTAAAGTGTAAGTAAGGCCAATCTTTTTTATGCAATTGGAATGTACTCAAATCCCTGTCAAGTTTTCACTTATATTTGGGACTCCTCTAGAGAGATTTCTTATCACTTACAACATGATGACAATGATTTCAGTAGGTCCCAAGAACAGAAATGTTGCAGCTTACCTGTCATTAGATGGCTGAATAGGGGGGCAGGCTGCATTCCGTTTTATCAATTTTCAAAAAAAGGAACATTGATACGTTTTTGCTTTTGGGTTTAGATAAACGTTAACCTTTGTCCACTTATACCAAATTAAAAAAATCCCAATGTAAACAGATAGTGTCAGTACTGTAAATTCTCTCTAATGACACAATAAGCCTTCTATGTGGTCACAACCTTATAGATCTTATGTAAAGTACAGTACTTGATATTCAACTTACGCTGAACATATGACATTGTAATATAAGCTTCCGACATATCTCCACATTGTCACTGCAGAATGAACAGCAAATATTCCTCCTATGATGACGTCTCCTTCTTGGGAATATTTGAACTCAAATGTATAATTCATGATTGAGAGATCACATCTGTGGAGAGAATTCTGAGTGTCACATTTGGAGTGTGCCACACACAAAGCCAACAGCAACAAGTGCTTCAGCATAGTGAAAGGAATGTGCCAATATCTCTGATAGTTGTGAATGAATTGCTATCTCTTCTTCCAGACACCTCATACCTGACACATGCAGAGGGTTCTGACTCCGGTAAAGGATGTGACAGAGAACACAATATGCTCTTATTTATCACTGATAGACCGGATATTAATGTCAGAGAATGTTACTTTTAGAGAAGAAATATGTAAAATAAAACAAATAGAATCTACGAGGACTTCATACCATGAAAAACTGCAACTACCTTTATATAATTCCAGCACTATTATTATATAAACTTAAAAGCTTTTCTCTATCAGTACATTACTAATATTATTGCTGTATACGGCACCCACATATTCAGCAGCACTGTAGACAATGAGGACTTACAGAGGCCATATCTATATCATTTTAATGGATACAAATATATGCTGACCTCAGACATGACATACCAAAGCTGTGTTGTAGTTCACTTACAATATTAAAAGGTGCGGGGGAACTTAGTATCCCTGTTAGAAAATGGGGTTGATTCCAATAAATAATAATATGAATATTAATAAATAATATCCGTATTATTAATCAATGCCACATCTTCCTGTTTGAAAGGAGATGGACAGCTAAGAAACACACATCATGGACTGGAGTTTTGAATATAACTTATTTTAGGCAGAATTATATATGCACAGAATGATTATAGATAAGGAAATATTACACAACATTTGACAGTCCTTGCCGCCCTTTAATCATATAACCAATACACACAGCAAATATCAAATGACAAAGCTCCTACACCATGGAAGACATACTGTATATCTAACAAACAAAAGTCAATGCGTCCAACAAATATAATAATAATAATAAAAAACTGGATACAATATAACTAGCCAACCAGACATGATATATTTCCAGTCCTAGCGGGTGTGAAATGTTTGGACTCTCTCTGGTTTCCCCAAGATAGACCTCCTACGGTTCCCCCCTCTCTGTCCCTGGCCTCTCATTCTCTATCCTAGCTAGTCTCATTCACATACATAAGGAATCTATGATTGGTCCAAAGTGCACAATCATTTCTTTCTCAAAAAAGTGATGGAACTTCCGTGTTATGTCATGAGTCCACACCCACTCTGACATTCCAAAATGCTGAGTATGATAACATCACAATTTAACCCTTTGTACAGTTATTTTGCCATGTTAGCTCATCAAAACTACCTGAGCTCTGGGAGACAGCACTGTGATTGTGACAGTGACTTATCATACTGTAATGCTCTGGACTACAAATCCCAGAGACATAAAGCTTATCTCAAGGATGAGCCCAGCTGTAAAGCTTGGCAAAACTTTAATTTCTATTTGTTGTCTGTTCGCTACACCATTGTGAAAAAACTGTTTGGTTTGTTTAGGTGGCACCTTCCATTGTATGAACCCAGCTTTCTATCAACAAACAAGCAAAACCTCCGTCTCTATTGCAAATCTATGTGTGTCTGAAAAAGTCCACTAAGATATATCGCAACACACATACCATCACACTGCCCTTGGAGACAAAAAGAAGATCTTAATTATAAAGTAGGACAGTTGGCTTTAGTATACTAATAAAGTCAGCAATTAGTGATACTTATATTATACTGATCCTAAGAAAGATACAGGAGATGGCCTTCAACTTACAATACAATCCACACCCTGTGTGTTCTGGATGTCAGAACATCCTCCAGCCAGGAAATGAGGCGCACTCTATGTGACTTGCTGCAGCTTCCAATGCACATTGTGAGAATATCCCAGTGCGCAGTGATATCAGAGAAAGCAATTTCAGTCCAGGAGAGGAGGCGGTACAACTGCACATGACTAAAGGGGAGGCCGGAGATTATATTAAATGACTATATTACAGCTAGTGTGAAGTTTCTTGGAGCCTGATGAAGCACACATATTCTAACAGGAGACCATTTGCATATTTTACACATCACTTCTTCTTTAGTCATCTGTATTGTACATGACTAGAAGATGATCAGCTTCATCCATTTATTGTCCATAAAACAGGACGATCAGCCTGAGGAATTCATCCCAGCTCCAGAGATTTCACGTATGGAAACTTCCCAGTCCTTAGATGTGGTGGCTGCATACGTTTTCTTTTTCAGTCTTATTTACTGTTGTTTTCTGGTCAATGGACCAGTAACAGAATCCCTGTGTTAGGGTGGTGACACTCACTCCACCACTGTATCTATAGAGGAGCAGTGTAGTCACCCTTGGACAGCAGCATTGCCCCCCTGTGGAGAGGGAAGTGCTAGACGAACTTTACATAAGTGACTAACAATTAAAGATGAACTCCAGATAACATTTTTTAAGCAGTTATAATTTTGTCTTCATGTTGGGATAAAAGTTTTAATAAAATGAATAAAAGCCGACCAATGTAACTCCATTTCTCCATTTCCTATAACAGGCCAAGCTGTCCAGAATAACTGTCAGTTAGAGGGTTGGAACAAACCATTTATCACTGACGGGGGCAGTGATAAATGGTTTGTTCCAACCCTCTAACTGACAGTTATTCTGGACAGCTTGGCCTGCTATAGGAAATGGAGAAAAAACAGACTCATTGGCTGGATCAGCAGGACATAAAACTATTGTACGGGGGGACATAGAACAAGAGACACATATATGTTACTGGTACTGACTGACTGCATCACATGTCATATTAATGGGCACAGAGTTCCACTTTAAGATTTTACCAGAGTGGGGGGGGGGTGGATTCCCCTGTCAGGTGGTACTGAGTTCTGTGATCCTATTGGTGAGATGTAATTACAGGAAGTGATGGGAAATCTATACAGAGGTGACACAGACTGCAATAAAACATTTCCTTTCCAGTTGAATGGACAAAGGTCAGAATCTGTCAGGGTATTAGTCTTTGTCTTCCTGGTTCAGTCACACCTCATTTCTTACTCTGTTGTCACAGGGACAGGACGTGAGGTGAAATCTCCCCAACAGAGAACAGAGTCAACAATAAAATGTGACAGAAGTATTTACTCTTCCCAAGTCTATGCAAAAATAAAAAAAGGAAGAAGTCGGGTTTCAAAGAAGATGTCTGGTAACTTAGATTCCCTTCATATTGAACTCTCTGCCCTCCTCTGCCTTCCTGACCCTCCCCCACATGTAAAATATTGCATGCATACTTATTGGCCAGTCACCAGTCCTTCCTCTTCTCCTCTGGCTGTGGCGGTGGGGAAGGGGTCCTAACTGCTGCACTGAAGAGTGCTCATGTAATAACAAGTGAGCAATGTGTGGTGTTATAATACTCTGAACCCAGTCCATGAGGTGACTCCACCCCAGGAGGATGGTCCATGACAACCTGGGCTCACAGGAAGTGGGTTTAATGACACCGCCATCATTTAATCCAGATTACTGTGGGCATCTAGTGGAAGACAAAGTGGACTATGGGGGACAACTCCAGACTGAAAGCTGATTCTTTATTTTATCTTTATATGAGATATTATTATTATATTCTGAGTTTTGTTTTCCTTTAATAAAACCATCATTTGTATTGTGTGGATTTCAGATTTGTATTTCCTCAGTCTTATGATGCGCAATGCCTGAGCTACAACATTGATCGTTATGTATGATTAGTTGGCTTTGAATCGGGAATTCCACAAAGTGTTGCCGGAATAAAACCGTCTGTTCTTGTGCAGTTTCCTGTGATCACTATTTTACAGGAAAACTGATATTACTGATACAATTATTATTTCAGGGGGCAGGGGAAAGTCAGTGAAATAATACAAGACAAATGTCTTCCAGTATGGGGTCACTTGGGAGTGGTTTGATGGACTGGTGGCATAAATAAAAGTCTCCATGGAGGGGATCATTTGTGAGACCACACAAATATGAAGCTTCAGGTCACTGATGGAAAGAAAGGAGTCCAATATATCTGATATCAATCAATTCTCTCTGATAGTTCTCAGTTCATCAACAAAAGATAAATGATGGAAGAAAGGCCGCACATTATTATGACCTTGGCTTTGGATTTCTCAATCACAGACCTCCCGTTTCTGTCAGCCTCAGCATTATCAGCCAATTTAATTACATACTCCATGCAGATTCCATGGGGGTGATTTACTAACCTAAACACACGCACGCACTAGGTGCGTGTGATTTTTACACAGCAAAACGTATTTATCAACCAAAAAGTCTCTAAAAGCATATTTCCACTAATGCCATATATGGAAAATCATGCACATGATGCATATATAATGCTGCTTCACAGTTTAGACAAAAATGGTTAGCTCACGCATTTACATTCCTGCATTCATCAACGCAAGCAACACAACATAGAGCTAATTTACACAACATCACCTTGCAATTCATGCTTGGCTTTGCACAACACACCTGCTGGGTGTGTACACACTACAAAGGTGTTTAGATTCCACCCATAGATCATGCTTGGAGGGAACACACTACAGAGGTGTATACTTGTTCGTGGTGTGTTTATAAGGTTAGTAAATCAACCCCCATGTGTTGTCATCAGGTAACTCAGTAATTCCATATCCCCACTGCCATAAGTGTCCCCATTACAATCCAGCTTCATCCATATTTATGTTTCAGACACTTTATCACAGCAGCATGATCAAGACTACCACAGGTATGTGCGTTGGAGATGTCTTTATTAAAGAGACTTTTTGGAGTGTTTCTTCTTACAATTGGAAACTGACCCTATTCCAGGTATGCAGCGTTGGTGACTAAGGCTAGGAGGGCAGAAAGTGTGTGGACTTTACCCTCCTGTGCCCTATCAAGCATCATGTCTGTAAATGTTTGGTGGGTACCTTGCAAGGAAGAGAAGAGTTGCAGTGGTCCCTTTATACAGAGCAGGGAATTATGGAGCACCTCTGTGTCCAGCTGTGGAGGCAGTTTTGTCACTGCCCAATAATCCCGCAGTTGCAGCATTGTTGGATGG